GCAGTACGTGAGTAAACGCAGAAGCTCAAGCGCGAAATTGATGCCTATTTCATGCAAAGACTGTGCTCGTAACATATGTGCTTTCTCACAAACCACATTAAATTAGGGAGGGGGTAGAAATTAAAGCAACCAGATTTTGAGTTTTTGCAATCATCAAAAACACCGCTGGTATATTTGTGGTTAACAGAATGACAATCAGCATTTCAAAAATAAAACCTACGAATGGAGCTTTGTAGAACTTTAGGACCATTCCGTCTGAAAGCTGGGCATGCCGCACAACCTCTCCTCCTTTTGCATTCCTGAAATAGCAGATTTTCAAGAAGACGATGTGAACACTTTTGACACGTGAAGCAGAACGTTGACACCAAAACTTCAAAGGCAAGATTCGGGATAAAATAGGTGTGGAAAAGCGTTCAGTTATGAAGCTAGAGGTGGGAGGTGGTCTGTAAAAGAGAAGGAAAGCAAACGAAACCACCGATTACGCCCCGTACAGAGACCTCCCCTATTTCAGCCACATTCCACCTTGGGATAGAGAAGAGGCGCGTTGGACGAGTTTCACGAACCTAACTCTAGTTGCTCCAGTGCCAATAACATTGGATCGCAATGGGACCGCTGCCTCAAATGCGCCCGCGCTTTTCAAGCAGCGCCACGTGGCAACCGACAGCGGAGGGTGGGGCTTGCGGACGAAGGTGTGAGTTGCGGGTCGGACGAGCTCCTTGCGCCTTTGTCGCGCACTTTCAAGCGGCAAAAGGGGCGCGACATCAACACTTGTCCACCTGCCTACTACCCCCTGGGGCCGTAAGGTATGCTTCCCCGAATGGTTGCGGGGACGAAAGTCCCTTTAAATTTTTTGTTTTGAACGATACTGTTTCTTTATTTTCAATGCATGCTTACTTTAAGCTACACACATATATTAATGTAGGCCCTTTATCAGGACAATCCCAGTTGGGACTACAGAGAAAATTTAAAGGAATTTTCGTCCCCTAACCCTTCGGGGAAGCATACCTTACGGCCCCTGGATGGAACAGGCGAGCCCGCCTGATCGCGGAGCGTGCCTTTAACAGCAAAAACTACAACAAAAACCTATCCAAGGTTGTTTCAGATATTTTAAATAGCATGTAAATGAAATCAAAGTTTTCTGATTCTTGCTTTAGATGAATGAACGAGAAAGTACCGCAACTCTGCCTATCGATGCAGCATGTAGATAAGTGTTTCCAAACGACTTCGTTTGTTGACTTCTATCACGACTGTCTCAAAACAATAATACTGAAAAGAGCTCCTACCTGACCATTACTTTACCAAAGACAAGGCCACTGTCTGGCTCCATTCGTTTATCGATATTCATACGCTTGAGCCTTCTATTTATTGGAGGGAGAAAAAGAGTCTGCGGTTCCACGACTACATACCTCTGCTATAAAAACACCTTTTACCCATTAAAAATTCAAAAAAATTTCACTCACTAGGAGATGAAACAGTTTACTTGGCACCCTTACTTACCTTCTCGTGAATTCCTCCTCCTTTCGGCACTCGAATCCTGACAATACCATCAGATCCTCGGAGTAGAATATTCATCGGAAATAGAGTACCCGCATTGTCTAAAATGTTCCACACGACGGTTTAAGTGCCGTTCGAAAACAAATAGAGCCACTTACATAAACTTTCCAGCTTATCATAACATTCTGGACAAACAATTTCTTTTTTGAACTGGGACTTGGACAGAGGAGCTTTCCCAACACATGCCGAGCATATCAACTGAAAAGGCAATAAAAAAGAAGAACTAAGAAAAACAAAAATGTTACAGCACACACTAGTACATACCCAACCGCAATCGCGACAGTGGTGACGGCGGTTCAAGAAGGAAAACACCGTGTCGCATCCTTCCATCAAACATTTACTTGAAGCGTCATCAGGAATCCAGAGAGGCTTCATTGTATCAGATCGAACTACTTCTGCAAGACATATTTTACCAGAAGCTTTTGAGTAAGATTGTTTATCAAAACATCACTTCGTTTAGATGATATCGGTCCACAACTGGAAGGTCCAGGTTGGTCATCAACTGGTGTACTCGGATGAGACGAAGATTCCTGCGAATCTGAGTTGCAGCGTGACCTGGAAAGGTAGTCTCATTCAGGAAAAAGCTCAAGCGAAAACTTTAGCTGTTGTCAGCATTTTCATCCACTTATGATCCATAATGAAGACGGTATTTGTACTTTTTGCACAATCCTGGACCGAGTACAACAGAACTTGTCTCTCAGACTTCAGTGGTAACTATAGTCTCGCTTGGAAAAACAAAAGCCTTTGTTGACCTTATGCAATCATTTTAAAGAATATAAGCGCATTGAGATGTATTAGGATGGCAAGAAAGTCCTGAGCCGTTTGACACTTTTTTTGCTTTATATTCCGCGTACAATGGAATCTACTCAACAATATAATCACCATTGTTACTCACTACAGAGTCCCACCTAATGGGCAGGTCAGCGACCTTCTCCCAGAACTGAGCAGACTGAGAGTCAAAGAAATCGCTGACCGCTCTTTCAACGTCTTCAACATGGTGAATTCTTTCTTCGCTATGACCTTTGAGGGGATAAAATCCTAGTATCCTACTATATTATAAAGCGCTAACTTTGTGTGTCGGTTTGTGTATCTGTATGTGTGTGTGTGAGTGTGTGTGTGTGTGCGTGTGTATGTATGTATGTGTGTCCGTCCGCAAAATGAAGTGAGTGAGAAGGAAGCTCATGGGATAAACAAACCGCTAACAAATCGGGTAGCTTACAGGATTTGAGATATCATGTTTTGTAGATAGTTGTGATAACACTCTCAGGGCTATATAAACACCTGCTTAGCACACTTCCGTTCATTCCACATGGTGCTGCAGTGGCAGCTGGAGGGCAGTGGAGAGAGGAAGGGAAGCGAAAAATCTACCGTCATATCATGATTGTGTCCCTTCTACTGTATGAAACACCATTGTGTTGCATACGCGTCACTTCCAGGAGGTGTTGGTGTCACAGGAGGAAGGGACCATAGCGGAGGATAGAAAGCTTGCGCAGGAAAGGAAGGTCCCGGCGGTTGACGGGGGACTAATCTGGTATTATAATTAATATGTCTTGTGTTGGTGTACTTCGTGTTGCGTGGTTTTGTCTACGAAATCGTACTCGTCCACAGCACCGATACAGCATGGTCCTTACATACTTAAAGGGGGATGGGGATCAATGATACTCTAGAACGAACGACTGATAATACTGATAAAGGGCTAGAAAGCTAGCATCGCCCAATTTCGATTTTGTCGTTCAATATATAAGAGGCGTCATAACTTACACTTGTTATTAAGGGTCCGGACAGCTTACATAATGGACAACGACCAACATGATAAGATGATAAGGGGTCCAAATGCAAAATCGTCGTATTCCATACCCAGCTGCTTGACACTACGCTCCATACTCCGCAGGTTCATGTGGGGAGGACGAGACATTGTTGTAGTGATGAAAAGTTGGTTGACAACGTAAGGCTGATAGAGGCGCAGAACCCAATTACGATTCCGTTACGTAGCTTGCGTTGACACTACAGCGTCCATACTCGCAGGTGTCATGTGGGGAGGGACGGGGACATTGTTGGTAGGTGATGGAAAGTGGTTACAACTGATAAGGGCTGATAAGGGCGTCAGAATGCAAAAGTCGTCGATTCCGTACGCAGCTTGCGTTGACACTACAGCGTCCATACTCGCAGGTGTCATGTGGGGTGGGACGGGGACATTGTTGGTAGGTGATGGAAAGTGGTTACAACTGATAAGGGCTGATAAGGGGCGTCAGAATGCAAAAGTCGTCGATTCCGTTACGCAGCTTGCGTTGACACTAGAGCGTCCCTACTTACAAATTGTATTTGTAGTGGTACGTGCACAGTGTATCATAGTATGACCAGCCTACTTAATTGCAGTCTGTTGCATGAATTCAACCAAGTCTTCAGCAAATGATAACTTTCGTTCCTATCAAGAAAGCCCAAACTCATTAAACCGCTAATCCTTTCGGGGTTCTAAATAATGGTGAATGTAAATAAATGATAAGCCTTAGCTCCTCACATAGGCATATTTCATTTTCATTTCGAGACTGACTGCAATCCTATTCACCGCTAAATTATCTGAATTCAGGAAGAATGGTGGATGTTTACAGTTGTGAGAAAATATGCCAGGTCAGCTCCAGACGTTATCACGCGTATTCTCCATGGACTTCAGCGAGACTGGGAAAAATCTAACACATTTGATAGTGAGGGGGTATGAGTACAGTCGATATCCGAAATGGTTGGTTGTACCGGACGGACTGACACTTGGTAGAAGTGCGTGGATAAGCTGTTACCAGCATGCTTTGCTGATATCCGGCAATGTATGTTAGAACCGGCTCCTTCACATAGTTTCTATCAATTGCACGTCACTTCGGTGACACGCCTACCCCAACTCACCGATGTCGAGTATACCACATGCTGAATCCATGACCCTAATCAGTTACCTACCGCCGCCGGTGATCGCGCGATACGGGCGAGCAAAAGGTATCGAATAATGAGAGGGTAATGTCAAGGAAATAGGTGGGACCAGCGTCCCTAGTGCTCTTCCAATTTTGCACGGGTCTCTTCAGCTATGTGGGCCTGGCGTCATCGTGGAGTAGGTGGACAGAAGTTCGTCTCGGTCGTTTTTCTCGAACAGCGTCCGCTAGTTTCTGGAGCTGACTGGCGTAAATGCTGCCGGTAACGGTATGCCCTTGCGGGAGCAGCTCATAATACAACATTCCTCGCGAATCCCAGAGGCAGCAAAGAAGACAGCTTTTGGGGTGAAGGTCCGATTTTGCTTGTGTCGGGGTCTTCTCCTCGAGGGAGCCACACGGCACTGTGCTTGTTAGAATCGTATAGGACCCCACTCTCATCTCGAAGAATTTGAGGAAATTCGAGAAGTGAGGCCTCTCGTACTCATCTCTTCCAAAAATCAACTCTCCGTTTCTAGGTCCGTGAGAGTGAGTACAGATTTAACTGATCCGGAGATAGACGAAAATACTTACCCTCGCCTGAACCGCCGTCTATTCGGGTCAACGACATGGTATCATAGAGTCGCACTTGCTGTGCGAGGATGAGGGATCGCGAGACTGTGATGGGTCGACTAAACAGGCTGCGTCTAACCCTACTCTCAAATAGAATGTAATACTTACCTAGAGTGATCCATCAAAAAACATCCTCTACCTAATCAAAGAAAAAAAAAAAAAATAAAAAAAAAAACAGCGTGTAGAGAGAGCGTTGAGCTTCCACTTTGCGGCTTCCCAACCTTGATTCTCAAGCCGTGTCTCCTTCCTTGAAGCCTGCGAACCAGAGCTTGGCACTGATGATGGAAGTGGTCCCTTCCCAATGCGATGCTGATAATGTTGACGGTTTCCACTGCTCCTGTGCCGCAGCGCCATTCATTGAAGATGATCGCTCGAAAGTGCTCTTGTGGAATCGACATCATGATTAAAGTTAAAGAAGGCAACCCGGCAATATATACCTACTGCGGAGAAGTATGATCGACAGCGATAGTCTATCACGTAGCAGATTCTAGGTATCGATCAATAAGCGAAAGTTCTGGAGCTTTCGAAAAATCGGCTCAGGACTTTCTTACCATCCCAAGTAATTTATCTGATTCTTCTTTCAGCTATTTGCAATAGAAAACCATGTGCGCGCTCGCGCATTAGGTTTGTTTTTATTTATTGTCACAAGGTTCCACCACAGTAACAACTTGATATGAGCTGCATGACAGGCATGACTTCCACAAACAAGCGAACAATTAACAAGTTTTTTTTGAAAGAGTCAATAGGTGTGCCAAATAAAAAAAAGACTTTGACCAAAAAGAAAACAAGCTAGCGGAACTTGTGGAACAAAATGATAACGCGAAGAATATGAAAAAAGAAGCCTTAAATATTGAAAAAAAAACCGAATCAAAAAAGAGGAAAACATTACTAACGTCATCAAAGGCGGAAGATTGTGCAGAATGTCACCGTTAGTTGAATGCCCACTCTCATCTACAATAGTTGCGTTGGTGTCGGTAAGTGTATCCTCCGCTCCAGTAACTTCGGTTAGTGGTGCCTCCAACATTAACGGATTCTGGAAAAATAACCAGTGTGATGGCGATATAAATTATGAAATTCACATACCACAGACCAAGCTTTGTCTTCTTTGCCGTTCTATAGCCTCGCTCATTCGCCTCTTATACTTTCGTTTCTCTTCCCGCGCAGTATCAATGTCCTTCTGCCACAATGTTCGTTCTCGTGCACTACTAAAGCAGCAAATTATAAGAAAAGGCAGCAATCATGAATAATTTGAAAACTATGGGGGAGTACCTCATGATGAGAATCAAACTCTTGTACTTGCTCTTCACGTAGAGCTGCTGCTCATAATCCTCATGTGGGTTGCTCTCAGTGCGAACGGTCTCGATTGGTATGCGATAGGACCGACCCATGTCGAAAAGACCAGAAGAAGCAAAACCTGACATCACCCGGCAGATCCACAGCGTATCGGAAAACTGTAACAAACAATATTTTCTTTACTTTATGATGATTCATAAACAGAGTAACTCACTAGTACTAGTATCGTGGCTGTGGCTCTTTTCGCGTCTGCTTCAGAACCTCTCCTTTGACGTATTAGTCTCCTACCCGGGTAAAAAACATCGAAGTTACACTGAAATTAGGGGTTATTTTGGAGCAATCTCTTCATGATTGTGTAAACATGGTAAGCCAGATATTCGGATTTATCAAACAACAATAAGCCAGATGTTCGGATATCCGCGCAAAAGATGATCAAATAGTGACTTTTATAAAAGAAGGACCTGAAAGCGATCGTATAACTTGAACAGCTCTTCATTACTTGGCAAACCCATCGACTCGTTCACGGACTGCGCAATTTTTTCCAGTTTGGCGATAGCCTCTGCAACAGCATTAGCAGGAAGATGTCAGCGACGAATAAACTCAAACTTTAAAAAAAAGATGATGGATACATACCCAAAGTTTTCTTTTGCTCTTCACTTCCCTCAATCAAGTAATTGTTATAGCTCATCATTAAAATTTTATATCTGAAACAAATTTCAAGAGTTTATTTACTAGGTATGTGCTCGGTCCTAAACTACCTCATAAAGTTCTGATGCACTTGATCAAGTTGTTGGACAACCGCACCCACACCGCGGTTAAAAATTTTCTGCTCGAACTGAAGCAAAAATTATTGCAAGTCTAGAAAAATAAAAAGAAAGTTGTGAAAACAAATGGTTTCGAAGGTTAAGCACTAACCGCAACAGTAGCGTTGTCGAAGTCTTTGTTCTCAAGGCGAAGTTGGGTGAGCTCTTGAACAAAACGAGATTTTTCCAAAAGAAATGGTTTGCAAATTTTCAGGAAGTCGGCGTATTTTATGATTATATCGGCCATGTTCGGCTTCAAAGAGCTCCTGAAGTTGGCAAAAATTATATAAAGTCCAGTATTGTGAGCAGTTCTATGTCGAATTTACAAATACCATGTTTCAAGGCGCGAAGAAAACTCGTCCAAAAGAAGTTGATGAAAACGGATGAGTTGTTCATAGTGCAGTTGCAGTTGTCGCACTACGTGTAGCTGCGTACCTTGTCGAGCCAACAGATCCTTCCCGAGTCTTTTTCCGAATTCTGTCACATATTCTGGGTACACCTAACAATAAAGCAAGCTCATGCCAGCAATCTAGACAAAGGTGAATTTTGTGAAGGCTAACCTCGCCCATATCCCGCAAATATTTCAAGAACAGTTTCTGTACTGAGTAAAACTCATTCGCGGCATAGTGAAGCTTTTTCAATCGCTTATCCTGAACACAATGCTGATAAACGATGCAGTGGCATGCAATATTGACATGAGATAAGGCAGCAGTACTAACCTCATCAGCGTCGCCGGTGTTGTAGTCAGGAACAGATTCGTATTCTGCTGAAGTGGTTGTGACAATGCTGCTTCGACTACTCTGCGCGTTCTCCTTTTTGCATGTGGAAGGAGTATCCTCAGACAGCTGAATAAACTGGATGTTAGTGATAACTCAATCACTGTTCCTTACGCTTGTTAAGTCCAAAACGATGAATAAAATGCCGTACAGTCGTTGATAATGAAGTATCACAAGACGCAAGCCCTTCAGCCGGCTGGAGGGAATTACGGCCTCGATGAGCATCCTTTGAAGACATCTCTGTACGTTTTTTCATCATGCGATCACTTGATCTTGAAATGACATCCGATTGAAACGTTGGTTAGGAAAAGATGAACGATGTTCGTGATGAAAAATTCAGAGCTCACCTTATTATTCCCTGTCTCTTGAGCTCGTCAACTATCTTCTCATGGATCGAAGGATCTCCATTGAAACAAAGCGCAGAGGGCCTGGAAAGCTTAGAGAATAAAAGCGACGTCGAACACATTTCTTTCTGGACAATCTGGACAATTTCAAGTTCATCATAACGAATTATTGAAACTATTACTTAGTGAAAAAATTATTGAATTTTTTTGAAATTATTGAACTACTGGAAGCTTAAAATTATGAAAGTTCAAGTAATTGAGCCAGAGCTGAAGATCAACACTGTCAAAGTTATAGAAAACTTCTACTGAAAAAAAAACAAGATCTGTGTGATTCTTTACGATGCTTGATTCTTTTCTGAGAAATTCCCTTCTCTTGTTTCTTGGATAGCCAATACGCACCTTCGGACGGTGAGTTGTCCAGGACCATTAAGATACGTGTCCGTTCTTTGCAATAGATTAATTCCATTCTGTCGGCCGTCATCAGAATCACTATCCGAGAATTCGGCAGCATCACCATTTTCAGTGCTAGTGGTTGAAACAGTAGAACGCGGCCTGGAACTCTCTGTGAAGATATCAAAAACAAGGAAGAGAAAGACAGTGCAGCAGACCTTTGAACGTCGCGCGTGTTACGGGGATGCGCATCACTTTCAGAAACGTCTCCAGGCGACTGAGATGCAGAGATTCGAGACGATTTTAGATGGGCAAAAGGAGCAGTATTGTTCTGCGCATCATCACCATCGGACACGAAAATCGTGGGCTTCTGAAAACAAACCAGAATGCGCAATCAATGATAGGTACTACCCAATTACAAGCGATTTTTTCAGGTATAATCAAGAACGGTTAGTTGGAGTCATGTGCCATAAATTCATACTAAATATGTTAGCGTCAAAGTAGAGAAAACTGTCGGCGCAACAGATGTGCCGGATGCGAGGAAACTTCGAGTGTACATCCCAAAGTCCTTACGACCACGACTTCACGAGTTCATGGCAATCGTGGGTACTATGCGTATGTATATTGGTGATTGCTTGTTCAAACGTAGCAGATCGCACTTTGACATTATCACTCAATCATTGCCTATGTCCAAAGCTGAGGATGGCAAGAAACAATGCAAAAAATGCTAAGCATTACAGCAGGAGATTTCAGAGACAAAGCTAGAAAGAGTATTGTCTATGAATCACGTAGGTATTCCACCGTCAATTTTCTTCTAAGGCCAGGAAGGGAAGAAAATGGCGTAAACCACGCATGGGCCTGCGTACTTGAAATCATCTAGAGCACGGCTACCTTCACACAGATGAAGACAAACGTTTCAGCGAAAGAGAACGAAGCTTGCATACTTCCGTCAGGAAAAGGATCGAGCTTATATATGGTGTGCAGTTCAGGATCTCAAGAGGAGAAAATGTTTATCACACGAGCAGAGCGCCTGAGAAAGTATCTCGGAACATTTGCCAGCACACGTGCCCACTTTAAAGCAATTTACATTACCCATCTCAATTCAAGACATTACTAACTAGATATCTAAACTTGGATTATTCAAAAATAATGAATCACGGTTACCCATATATGACGGGCCTCCTTCATTTGGGATCAGCAAAAGCTACTTGAATCAGTTAGGACACCAGACCGATGAAAAAGTTTGCTTAGAAGTTGCGCAGAACGTGTTTTCGGAAATTGACAAACACTGAACGCCACCACTACACCACTCTCCGCTACATGTCCAGGCATTTTCAACGTTGAGCACTCCCACTACGATCCATAGTGAACCACAAAATAACAAAGCAAAGTAAACAATGCAGCATAAGCTGCATAAATTGAAACATACCCGAAGGTGGCGTGAAATGTGTGGTGGTTTTGGAGCAACTGGCGGCTTTGACAATCTCGGCGAAGACGGCTGAGTGTCAGCAGGCTTTGATTTATGAGGAGGAACTGGAGGAGGGTCGTTGTTCTGAGGAAGTGGATAGATCGGTACAGCGCTTCCTCAAAATAGAGACCTTCGAAAAAACTCTCTTGTAAGAAAAATTAACCAAAACCATCGGGTTCGTAATATTGTGGAAAGTATTGCAATGCAGACCTGAAAGAACATGAGGAGCATCCTTCTGCCTGGCCGCATTTATTTTCTCCTTGATTTGCTCGCGCAAGTAAGCTTACACATACACTCGGACGGCTTTCGTCGTCAGCCATACGCATCAGCTGAAAACATGACCGTTGTAAACTTTCACACTTCTTTCATAGTATCTAATCACCAGCAAGAGGTCAGCCCCTACAATTAAATATTTCTTTATTTAAAAACAAAATTTTAGCATTTTGCATCATAATCGCGAAGCTAATCTTTTCTAGTGCCGGTCGACGATGACAACCAGCTATTTACATTTAAGATTGCACATATTCATAGATTGGCGATTCTAACCAAATTGGCGGCAGTATCCGTGAGTGAAGGTTTGAGTGAAGACTATGTAGAATTTCAACTGACGTGACGTTTATCTTGATGATTTTGGGACATATCATTGACTCATGTCAGATAAGTATCAACCACATTTACGAGAGCAGAGATTATTTGAGAACTAGACGGCGGCTTCCCATGTGCTTTACCGAACCACAAAATGTGTAAAGAATAACAACAGTGCCAGCGGAATTCAAACGGAAGCGAGAAAAATTGATTTGTCAAGAAAGTGTCATCATGAAGATAATTGAAAGTGGCGGCTGTTCCCATCGCACTCCAGACAGAGAATGAGCTTCGACGAGGAATACGGAAGAATCGAAGAAGCGACCACACTATTCCTTGGACAACATAGCTACGGGCGGAGAAGGCAAAGTCATGGTGAACAAGTACTGTCGGCCCGATCCTCAAACACAAAGGGAGTGGGTGATGGAGTGCTCCAACTATCAGGATCAAACAACTGAGTGGCATCAGATCGTGAGTGCATACAATGGTGCGGTTATCGACTTGAAGCCGAGAGAACTAGTCAAGATGCAGCAGCATAGATCTACCCTGATTCTACAGGAGATAAAGAGCCTATTATAGAGCACATGGACCAGCATCGAAAGAGTCGAAGACTTTCGAACAAGGGAACGATATGGGCAGTGACGGTGACGTAAGACAGTGGAGACAGGGGTAAATGCAGCGTTGCTAAAACAAAAGAACTTCATACATCGGTTCAATAACTGACCGTTCTAATACGGAGGCGAGCTGGATTCAGTTCCCAGCTAATGCAAAAGAAAGTGTGATCGGCATGGTTCAGTAATAACTTTACTATTGTTACACCAATCTGATATGACACAGCCTCCTTTATATTGCGGCTGGCAACATTAATTGCAAAGTATTGCTATATCAAGGCTTAATTCGTCATTAGAACCTATTCCTGACATGCGATCGCGCATACGCGTCATAATATGTTGACATGAGCGGCACTGATGGAATAAAAGAAATCCGCTCACGTAGACTGCGATGTCCTAGAACAGTCAAGTGATAAATGTACCGAATACGATGCTATGGAGCGACGTAGGAGGGCCCGCAGGCAGGAATTCTAAACCACATCTTCACTCCTCCAAAAGGAAGATGCAGAGATAGATCTGCCACCGCAGGGTATCGGGTCAGGAAAGCAGACTCGCGAGAGCGGCCATGCCGACAGGCTTTAATGCTCTTGAGATGCGAGAGCAGTGACTGAGACGGTAAGCGTGCCGAGAAGCCTTGGTAGGGAAAGAACCGATGTTCTCAGTTCATGGAACACCACGAGGATACCAAAGAAGAGCGGATTTGAAGCGAGAAGACATCACTGAAATCAAATGAACGCCTGAAGAATCCTTGAATAGGTGAGAAGGGCGAGGCTTTTCGAAGGTGACGGGTCCGCAAGGGCGCGGTGTTGACGCCGGTGAGAATGAAAAGCGAAGGGCAAATGGTCACTACTGCAAAAGAAGCATTTGACGGTAGAAAAGGTGGCCATTGCGACAACTACTATATATAGTA